CCCTGTCTCAGGACCTTGCACTTGCCAGGCAGGTAGTTGTGCTGCTGAGCTGTATCCCTGGCCCCCAGCCTGTGTCTCACCGAGTCTTCCTGCTTCTTCTCCTAACATCCTACATCTTTTTTTTTTTTTTTTCTGTCTACTCCTCAAGGACAGGGACGCAACTCTGGTTGGACCCAGGGCAACTGGGTCTGGCACAAAGTTAGGACACACACAGACCCACCATCACCAGTGTGGGCATAGTGACAGCCACGTGTCACTGCCTGTAGTCAGAGTGATCTTTTATTTTATTCCATTATTTTGTCTTGTTTTGTGAGACAGGGTCTTGCTACATCTCCCAGGCTGGCCTCAAACTCACGGCACTCTTCCTGCCTCAGCCTCCAGTGTAGCTTGGGTTACGGGTGTGTGCTTCTTCAGAGGGCACACACAAAACTCAGGGCACACTGTCTATGCCCTGCAGAACCACAATTGATGACATTCTGATGTAACATAATATAAAGCAGGACAGCACAGCGGTGCATGCCTATAATCTCAGCACTCAGGAGGCCATCCTAGGGTACACAGCATGATCCAGTCTCAAAAAACAGAAACCAAAGCGAGATAAAAACAAAACCAACCCAAGTCCAGTCATTCTACAGTTCCTCCATATATAGAATAAAGTCCACCTCCATACCTGGCCAACAGGTGCCAGCATTACTCCTACCTCTGCCCTCTACCCAAAGCCATAGCCAGACAAGGCGACCTTCATCTTCAAATGCAGCAAGATTTCTGGGGTACCCGAGGGTTTCCACCCCTGTTCCTCCACCCCAAACCCTCTTTCCCTCTCCACCTGTCAAACTCATGCTGACTCTGTGACTTTGCTTCAGTGTGACCTCCTCCAAGAAGCCTTTCTGGAAGATCGCTTGCAGGTTGGTTCTGTGTCAGTCATGAGACCCTTGTGACAGTCACATGACCCCTGTCTGCTGGAGGGAAGCAGGAACCAGAGAGGATGGCAAAGAAGGAGTGGATGGAGAGTCTGTCACTGGGCAAGGAAACGGGTTCCAGGCAAAGCTACAGCCTGGCCCTGGCCAGCCACGCACATTCAGCCAGTGGCCCACCTGGCTGACCCAGCTGACCTGGCTGGCCGGAGTGTCTCCGTTTGTCACACTGGAAATGAGCAGCACCCCCAAGAGGCTACACAGAGGCAAGAGTCAGGGCTTCACAGGAACATGTGGGTTGCCAGCCTCTCCTCAAGCACTGGGCAACTGGCCTGGATGCCAGCCCCTATAGCCCCCCACAATCCCCAACCACCCTCCCATCACCCGCCCACTGCACTCACCGAGACAGTGGAGCTGGGTGTGTTGGTGCCATAGCCAGATGAGGGGAGTGAGGCCAAGGACCAGCGGCGCCCGTCAGCCCTGGAACCCAGTGTAGTGCTCAGCACCTGCAGGGTGGCGCTGGTCCTAGCGCTTCCTGAGGCACCAGAGGAAGCCCCCAGCCATGGCCTGGGCAATCAAGCAATCATTCAACTCCAAGAGGAGAAAGGTTGCCTCAGCCCGGCACAGGCTTCCCAGAGGAGGCCGAGGGCTCCAACGAGTCCTCTGGAGGGGCCACCAAGGATCTCAGCCCAGGGAGCCTGGCAAATCAGCCTAGGGAGCTTGTAAATCTTCCCAGAGAAGAAAGACCCCTCTCCAACACGGAGCCTCTTCTCCACTCTCCTGTGTCCATGCGCTCTGGGGTGGGTGTGGACAATGTGGTCACCGCCACAGACACACACATCTCCACACTCCACACACACCCAGAACACACGGGAGGGACACTTACACGCGTGGACACGACAGAATCACCCACCCAGCAAGAGCGATTCACCCATGGATGCACAGTAAGGAGACTGCGACTCACCCGCGCAGGCGCACACACACTGGCTCACACACCCGCACATCGGGACTCTCACCAGTGTCACACATCTAGACGCCCACAGGCCACAAGCTCAGTCACAGGAACACAAAGACGCCTACGGTGTCTCCGTCACACACACATTTACAAATCTGCAGACACGCGCCGGGGACACACTCGCGGCAGCACACTCTCACACTTGCGACAGACACACGGACACACGCCCCATGACCTGCTCAGCATGCCCGGGCTTGGCCCTGGGACCGCCAAGAGGAGCACAGCAGGACAAGCCCAGGGCCGGTTATGGCCTACTGGGCACAGCCCCATGTCCCCGGGCCCGCGAAGCCTGCAGCCTCAGCAGTTTTTGCATGGTTCCCTGCACCGCCTGCCCCACTCAGCAGATAGAGAAGGGGTGAGTGACACCCCGAATGCCCAGCTCCTGGGACACAGAAGGTGTTTAAACACCGTTTTTAGAATGAATGGAGCTCAAAAGAAGAGACCGGCCTAGCCACAGCCTAAGCCTGGAAAGTTGCTAAAAAAATAGAGATTCTCTACCTACCACAATTTCATCAAAGCCCCCGCAGAAAATTCATGGACAGGTGTCACAGAATCACTCAGAGAACCTCCAGGGAAACCTGCGGTTCCTCCCCTTGGGGCCTAGAGAAAGAGCCCTAGCACTCTCCCCTACACGAGGGACAGTCCCTCGATGGGCTGCGCGCTGTCTGCGCCTGCGCACCGCCTCCTGGCTGCCCCTTCCTGTTGCTATGGAAACGCCCGGCCAGGCGCTCGGGGGTGGAGAAGACCCCGGCCCAGCGCGCACGCGTTCTCCTCGCCTCAAAGCGGCCCCGTGAGGCTCGCGTCCCGCCCCGAAGTCTGAGGCCTCTGCCCCGCGGGCGCCTAGCGGCCACTCTCGAACCCTAGGGTACTCGTGCGGCTCCGCGCAGCCGGGAGAAGAGCAGATGGCGGACCAGAGGGCGGGCGCGAGCGCCCGGGCCGGACTCAGGGCAAGGGCGGACTCACCTTCGGGAGGAGGCGAAGGAAAAGTGCGCGGGGGTGTTGGGGGAAAAGTTGCGGGGGCTGTCCAGGGGGCTGCTACCTGTAGTGGAAAAAGGGGGCGCTTTGGGCCTAGGCTGGACGGCAGTCCCCTCAGGCCTCTGAGCCCCACAGCGGGCGGCAAACCGCCTTTGGCCAGGCCCCGCCCCTTCGATGCTGGCTCCGCCCATCATCTGTGGCTCCTCCTTTCTGCTCCGCCCCTTTGCCGAAGCTATGCCCGTCTGGCACTGGTCCCGCCTTTCACCTACGGCTCCTCCTTCCTGCTCCGCCCCTGTGGATATGCCCCGCCCCCTGGCCCTGGCCCCGCCTTCTACCTTCGGCTCCTCCTTCCTGCCCCGCCCCTGTCCAATCCACATCCTTTGAGCCTCTGCTCACCCTAGCTCTTCTCGCTGCGACTGACCACACCCACACGTGTGTAGCATCCCCCCTGTCCAATCCAGTTCACCCTTTCCCCACTCTGTGGCCACACCCCTTGATTTAGCCACGCCTCCTAAACCTGGCCCCACCCTCCAGGGCTACTTCAACTGTCTCACCCAAGTGGCCCGGAAGCGGCGAGTGGGGTCGGGGCAGCGTGGGTGAAGTGCTGGTCAGGATGAGGCTTTTTCGGTTACTGGTGCGGCAGCTGCAGGGAAAGCAATGCAGGAGCCCACGACGGGCCGCAGCCCGTGAGTCCCTGGCCTATGCAGTCCTCTCTGCTCTCAGATCCCATTTTCTCCCTGCCACGGTGAAGGAGCTTCACGAGAGCTGCGTGGAGGGGAGGCCTCATCGTGCTGTATGTGGAACAGGGGTGCGCACAGGAGGCCAGCGTGGGGTCACTCGCTGTCACAGCCACGGAGACAGCACTGGGTATCCCGAGTGTGTCTCCTTGGGTCTGAGAGCAACACGCAGGGAGTGCATCTGTGACATCCACCGCGTGACCCTGGCTGCATCCACAGGTGACGCCGTGGGCAACGCCACTCACATGTCTGCATGATACAGTTTGAAGCATGGTTCGTCCCCGACTGTGTGGGGTGGCGAGTTCGTGACGCGTGTTTGCCCCGTGTGTCTGTGTCATGGTGTGGCGCCCTGCGTGTGTGCAAGGCCTGGCCTCGCATGTCTGGATGACACAGGCGCCCGTGGCCCTGGCAGGTCTGATTTCCCGGCTTGCGGGCGGACGTGGCTTAACGTGTTTCCAGCATGTCTGTGCGGTGTCCGTGTCAGCGGTGAGAGTTTGGCATGCAAGGCTGTGCGAGACCCGTGGATGCGCGCGGCCCCGCGAGCTACGGCGCTGAAGTGCGCGGCACCTGCCCGCTATCTGGGCCACTGGGGCTGCCGCGTGTATGTGTGTGACATCATGTCTCGTGTGACGCTGCGCACCACTATTTTCGGGGGGGGGCGCCGGTGCTATGGAGAAAGACCCCCGTCCTCTGCCCACCCGCAGGACCCCAGCTCCCGAAGCGCAGCCCCTGGCCCGCAGCAGCCCCTCCTTCCCTCCCTGCGGGCAGCTGTGAACGGAGCACATAGCTCTGGGGCGCCGCGCGTGGGGACTGCGGCCATTGTTCCGCGGGTGCCGGGCCCCCACCCCCCGGACCGCCCAACCCGCAGCGCCCCAGACAAAGGCGCCGCATCCCCGCCTGGCGCCCCGACCCCCACGCGGCGCCCCTTCCTGTGCGCGCTGCTCCCCCCAGGGGGCCAGCGGGAAGCGACGCGCGACCCCGGCCACAGGCAGCATCCCGGCACCGCCCTGCTGCAGCTCCCGGGGCGGGGGCAGGACCAGGGGCTGGGGGTCGGGGTCAGTGTCGGGGTCTACCTCTTGGTGCGACGGAACATGCTGCCGCCGGGGAAGGAGGGCATCGAGAAATTGGAAAGCGCGGTCCAGAGCGAGTCAGACATGACCCAGCGGCGGCGACATGGTGGCAGGTGCGGCAGCGGCGCGGCGACGCGGGAGCGGGGAGCGGGGAGCGAGCGCGGGGCGGAGGCTGCAGCCGCAGCGGCCGGGTAGGGAGGGGGAGCGGGAGGGGAGGGGGAAGGGAGCGCGCGCCTGCGGGGAGGCCGCCGGGAGGGGGCGCTGCTGCGCGTTCACGCCACCCGGAGCCCGCCCCGCGCGCGCCGCCGTCCCGGACCTCACCTGCTGCTTTTCCGGGGCAGGGGCAAATCCTTCTGGAAGGGAACGCGAGAGAAGGACGAAGATCAGCATGGACCCGTAACAGCTTCCCACGAAGCCACCCCGCTGCCCAGAAGCAGGGGCTATGCGGATGGTCCCTGGTTAGCAGGGCCACCTTCTCCTTTGACCAGGAGTTGATCCCCAGGGACTAACACAGGCTCAAGTACTCTGAAGGGACCTCCAGGTGCTGGTGAGTTGGCATACTCATCTGCATATTTGTGCAAATGAACCAGGAGTCTTTTGTTTGTTTGTTTTTGAGACCAGCTCTCCATCTGCAGCCCCTGCTGACCTCAAACCCGCTATGTAGCCCAGGCTGGCCTTGAACTCATGGCAATCCTCTTCCCTCAGCCTCCCCAGCGTGAACACAGCGTGAACACAGGCGTGAGCCAGCAAGTCCAAGCCCAGAGAACCAGGAGTCTTTATTTGAAAATATATTTCTGGAGCACCCACTGTCTGCCACATCCTTATCCTGTGAACTGTGGATAAAACAAATAAAAATACCTGTCCTGGCCAGGGATGTGGCTCTGAGGCATAACACCTGCTTGGCAATGCAAGGCCCTGTGTTTGATTCCTGGTACCAAAAATAAAAATAAAAAATAAAAACATCTGTCCTTTGGGGTGAGCATTTAGAGGGGCAAATGGGCACTGAATAGAGTTTGCGTGGGATGATGAGATAGTGTTAAACATGAGGGTGATGCAGCAACAAAGCCAGTGCTGTGGTGCAGAAGGACTGGGAGGAGATGCAGAGCAGTGGCTCTGGGGACAGCTCTCCGTGGCTGCTAGAAGATGACAGCCAGCCACGGTGTGGAGAGAGCTGAGGGAGCTGAAGGGCAAAGTCTTGGAGGCAGGAAGGAGCTTACCCTGCCCAGGCATAGGAGGCTGAATACAGGCATGCAGGCCCGAAGCAATAAGCCCTTCACAGCCTGCCAGAGCCACTCATCCTCAGCTAGATTTGCAGAGCTGGGAGCCACATAGATCAGGAGGATCGAAACAGATCAAAGTGAGATCCTAGTGGGCCAAAAGGTCTTTGTCTGATAATGACAAGGTAATAATTTCAGGCTATTAAATGTATGTCTCCATTAGGTCAGCGGAGATCAGGAGTTACAGGGTCTCAGCAATTTTCACGCAGAGCAGTGGGGGAAGGAGACACAGCTTTCCAGCCAGTTCTGTCCAAAGGCTGAGGCAAGCTGGGTGTGATGGTGCACGCCTGTTATCCCAGAATTTGGGAAGCTGAGGCAGGAGGATTCCTGCAAGGTCAAAGCCAGCCTGGCCTACGTATTGAATTCCAGGCCAGTCCGGACTTGTCTCAAAAAAAAAAAAAAAAAAAAAAAAAAACCTCCAAAATAACTAACTAAATACTGAATCACCAAGACAGGAGTAGTTCTGGGTAGTCAGTCACGCAGCATGACAGAGCATGGCCAAAGGATTCCCCCAGTCCTGTGTACAAAGCATAGACCTTCGGTCTGATCAAAGGCCAGCCCAGGCCTCCCCAGCCACTAGTGACCAGAATTCCAGACCAGGTTTTTTCTCTGTCTTTACAGGATCGCCGAAAGGAGTCGCTGCTGGGACCTAGACACTAGGCTTCAGCAACCCTACCACGGCCTGGGCAAAATCAAGACATGGAATTTCTGGCCACGAGGCCCAGGGCTCCAGACTCAGGTGAAGTGGACCTTGGAAGGTGAGCCTGTAAGGGTCTCTATCACCCACGAAGTCCTCGGACCCAACCCCTGTGGCCGGCGCACCCGAGCATTCTAGAGCTGAACAAAGGGCACGGAGGAGCTGCGGACGTTCGGATCCTTGGCGCCTGCCGCCTGCCGGGCATGCACCCGTGCAACCCCAGCTCTGGAACCCGCGCTGGTCTTTCCGGATAGGCGGAGGGATGGCGCGGAGGCCAGGCCCTCCGAGTTTGGAAGCCCCGGGGTATCACCGGGCGACATTCCCTGAGAGGGGAACCGGTGCGTGGGCTGTGTCCCGGCGCAGGAGGGGTTAACTTGGCCAGAAGGGAAGAGGTGGGGCAGCCCTGGGCGAGGGTCGCCAAGCTGAGCACTGCCGGGTAAGGTGGGTGGTGAGTGCTTGTGTGGTGGGGGTGCTGGGCTGGGGGCGGGGACAGAATCCCGCGTGGCAATGAATCAATGGGTGGGTGCCAGAGCCAGCTAGGGGGTGGGGACACCCACAGGCCCCGCCCCTCCGCTCTGGGTGGGCGTGGGGGACCCGACGGCACCGCGCGGCCCAGCCTGGCCGCTGCAGCGTTTGGTCTAACTTTTGCGCAGCTCCCTCTTTTCTCGGATCCCATTCTCTTCAACCAACCCCGAAAGAAGGGTTAGGACTTCGGAGAGAGCTAGGTGCCAAACCCGGCGAGATGGGCTGTGTGAAACAGTGAGCCTTCCAGCGCACGCCTGGCCTTAGCATTATCCATCCTCGGATCGCCCGGGAAGTCCCTCCTGCTATCTGCTCTTCGTTTTTCCTGCCCCACTGGCGACTCGGCTCCCCCAGGCCCTGACCTCAGGAGCAGCGCAGAGATGCACCCAGGAAGCCGAAAGTACAGCTCGAGTCTGGACGCACACAGGGCTTCCTCTCAGCTCCAGAGCAGCAAGCGAAGAAGACTCATCTGCAAGGAAGCTCTGCAGGCACAGGCCCAGAGCAAATTTTGGGACCAACCCTTGATCGGCCCCTCTCTGAGATCAGTGTCGGGTGTCCAAAGTCTCAGAGGCGCTGCCCGAGTCGGGAACAGGGGATACTTTTCGGCCTCAGAACCCCTTACCCCGGAGGTGGGTGCTCTTGACGTGCAGTTTCGTCCCCGCTTCCCTTCCTTCCCCTCAACTCTCAGTGTCCCACTCCGCGCAGTGGACCCGCGCGTCCTGCGCAGGCGCGGCCGGGGAGCCGAGTCTTCCAGGCTGCAAGGAGCTAAAAATCGCTCCCGCCCACCTGCAAGCTGGGCTGGACCTGCGGATCGCTGGGGTGGGGGGTAGAGGAGGGTCGAATGGAGGTGCCATGCTGTCTGGGTGTCCACCCAGTGAGGGCAGCAGGAAGGGTCCCGGTGGTCGATCGGGAGCGCGGAGGGCACGCCAGGGTCCCCGCCCGGGAATGAGCTCCTGGGGCGACTGCGGCGAGGCTGCCCATGCAAATCTGTTTACGGCGCCGGGGCCCCCAGGGGCGCGAGCCCTGGGGCTGTAACTTTGCTCAGCCCAGGTCACTGCGGACTGGCGAGGAGCTCGACACTCGGAGGCTGCAGTCAGCCCTCCGGCGTCCCCTCAGCGGCTGCGCGCCCCGGGCTCCTGCATCCCGCGGTGCCCGACCCGGGCGGGCCGAGGGGCGGGGTCCTACACTGCCGTGGCTGTGCCCGTGGGGGGCACCCTAGGCCGGGGAGGCGGCGCCCCGCAGGCCCCAGCACAAGCCCCCCGCCCCCCGCGCCCCGCCCCGTAGCCGATTCCCGTCTCCGCCCCGCGTCCGGCGGCCGCGCGCACCTGCAGCCTCCGGCGGCGGATCAGGCCCGAGTCGTCCATGGCGGCGGCGGCGGCGGCTCGGCCGGGGGAGGAGGAGGAGGAGGAGGAGGAGGAGGAGGAGGCAGCGGAGGAGAAGCCGCAGGGACCCGGCGGTGGCGGCGGTGAGGGGGGGCGGGGCGGAGCGAGCGGGGCGGGCCCGGCGCCGTCACTGCGTCTGGGCGCCGGGTCTGGCCTCAGCTGCCGCCGCTGCTGGGGGAGTCTGGGGGGCAGAGAGGTGGAGCCTCCAGGTGCCCCCGAGGGGGGACGTGCACCTTGAGACCCTTCGGAGACAAACGCTTATTCCTGGGGGAGACTCCGAGCCAAGGCGCCCTCCGGGGAGACTGCCCTGGAGACCCTCGGGGAGACGCCTCCCGTCCCCAGAGGTGGGGACCGGGTTCCTCGGCTGGTGCCCTCTCCGGTCAGAGCCGCCCTCCGGAAGGAGGGTTAAGACGCGCGATGCGCATCTACCAGCTCCCTGCGATGAATGTGATGAGTGTGTGCTGCAAACGTGTATAAAGAGCTGTTTTCCACCCTCGGAACCATCTCTGGCAGACGTGTCTGAAAGTGCCTCTGTCGTCTCAAAGCCGCCGCGCCCCCCTCCCGCCCCCATGACATCGTGGGGGGCCCTGGGAAGATACCCCGACACACCACGTGGTGGGGAACGGCCCCCACCCACAAGACCCTCGAGTAGGAGTCCCCTGGGGAGGTGCCCCAGAGGGTGGAGAGAGGGGAGGGCAGGTATGCAAAAAATTCTTCCAGCTTCCCCAGGAATTTAATCTGTATGTTCGGTAAATGGGCACTAATAAAAATTTTAAAAATCAAAAAAGAAAAGCACTCTCATGCATACGCTGCACTCTTCCCTGAATCCCGCGGCCCGTTGGGCGGCTCCTCCCTCGCGTTTAGGATTAAAGAGCGATTAGCGGATAGTTCGTGAGCTGGCTACTTCGCTTAGGTCCACACAGCTGAGTCGAGCCCCTGCTTTCGGAGTGGGATGGGGGCCTCCCCTGGAGCTGGCCTAGGGGGCTGTAAGGTGCGGTCGTCGGGCGAGAGCGACTCCTGCCGATTGCCCGGGCGACAGCGGGGCTGGGCTGGCCCCGGAGGCTCCTAGGAGCGGGTCTCCTGCCCTGCGTCCTCGCGCGTGCTTCTTGAGGCACGTTCGGGTCCTCTGCTCGAAGCCAAGAAGCCGGAGCCTCGGGAGCTCTCCGTGGTCCTGGCACCACGTGCTCCTGTCCGCGGTGCTGAAAGCCCAGCTGGGGCTGGGAGGCTGAGGACAGGGCGAGGGAGGGGTGTGGAGACTAGCACAGACACAGCCCAGGGATGAGGGAACTCTGTCCTGCAAGCACCCAGCTCCATAGGCCCAAAGCAGGCTGGTCCTGCAGGTATTGTTGGCCGAGGCCCCAAAACATTCCTAGCTGTCTACAGGGGACTCAGATAGTGTCTGTTGAACTAACTCCTTCACTCAGCACTTATTCCTGGGGGGTGGGGACCCCGAGCCAAGGCGCTCCCCGGGGGGGGAGGACGGCCCTGTGCACTGCAGTGCTTCAGAGTCTGGAAGTACAGCAAAGAAAAAAAACAGCTGAGCAGGAGCGCACATTCGGGGAATCCAAACACTCAGGAGGCTGAGGCAGGAGGATGGCCAGGAGTTCAAGCCAGCCTGGGTCACATGGTGAGTTCAATTTTACCTTGAACTACTCAGCGAGACCCTGTCTCAAAAAAAAAAAAAAAAAAAAAAACCTGGGCCTGGTGGCACACACCTGTCATCCCAGCACCTGGGAGGCTGAGGCAGGATGATCACACTGAGTTTGAGGCTAGCCTGGGTCACACAGCAAGACTATTTCAAAAATCAAAACCAAACTAAATAAATAAAGACAGAAATCCTGCCTTGTTTTGAGATGGAGGTAAGGTGACTCGTGGTGGTGGACACTGTTCACAATAACACACATGCTCACGCTGCAAGCACAGGCACACACACATTCTGCACACACACTTTCAGCAGACAGACCCCCATATAATGCACACACTGTAAGCATATGCTCAGCAAACACAAACACACTTAGACACCTTCTTCAAACACACACGCTGACACACACACCTAGGAAATGCAGACACACAAAACACATTCACAGGTACTGTCCACATGCATGTATCACACAGACTTGTAGATGCATCTACCTTGTTTGTTTGAGACAGGGTGCTGCTGGCCTTGAACTCACTGTGGTACCCAAACTGGCCTTGAACTTGTGATAATCGTTCTGCCTCAGCCTCCTGAGTGCTGGGATTATAGGCACGTGCCTCCTCCCCTTCTCCCCTGACTCCTCCAGGTTTATTGTGATGCATATCAATTGCACATGCTCAGCCCAGGACACATTCCGGGATTCTGAATACAGAGAGAGAGACAGACAGACAGAGACAGAGACAGAGACAGACAGAGACAGAGATAGACACAAATACAGAGTTTAAAGTGAAAGCTCAGTATAAGGGCTAGCACATATGTATACACATAAGCCCCAATCGCGGCTTTGGGGGCGGGGTCATTGAAAGCCCCACCCACACACCAATCCACACCCCTTTCTGCTGCTTGAGAGCCCAGGACTCATCCTGAGTGTCCCAGCAGTCACCAGACCCCAGCCCAGCTCACAGGTGAGGAGCTGGGCCCGGGAGTCGGGAAGGGGCTCCTCTCAGTCCCACATGCAGGACACCTCCTCGGCCGCGAGCTTCTGGGCCCTAGATTCCAGCTCTGGCACAGTCAACCTGGGTCCCAAGCTTGTACAGGGCTGGTGGCAGCGCCTAAGCCGATTGTGAGCTGAGAGAAGGTGACCGTGAGCCAGGCCAGTGAGGAGGAGGGAAGAATTATGGCCGGGAGGGGGACTGGAAAAGCTGGGGTGGCCCTCCAGGCATTGAGGACAGAGGGAGAGGCTAAGGACCACAGGAGAGAGGTGGCTCCAGCTGGGGGTAACACTGGGTCCTGAGGGCGTGGGAGGGATGTGGGTCTGGTGGGAGGGGCATCGAAATCAAAAGCAGCCCTGACCAGCCCAGGCTCAGGCCGGGAAGGGCTCATGGGGGCCATCCTCAGCACCACTGAAGGGTGCGAGGGTGCTGCTCTGAATCCAGGAAGGGGACCCGCCTTGCCCACGCCTCGAAGGAAGACATGGCCTGCAAGACCAGTGCTCGGCCCAGCGGCCTGGCCTGGGTCCTGACACCAGCCCTGGCATGGATACTCCTAGGGGCCTGTGGTGGGAGTCACCCGCCTCAGGCCAGATCTCAGGGCTGCCACCGGCTGGCAACTGAAGCAGGCACCGGGGAGCTACACCTGCAAGGTGAGTTCCCAGACCCTGCCACACCTCCACCATTCAGGGACCCCCCCCCCACCAAAGCAAGGCCAGGATGTCCTTCGGAGGGGCTCCAGGTGGCCAAGAACCATGTGTCAAGAGTACAGACTATGAGCTGGGCCTGGTGGCTTACACCTGTAATCCCAGAACTTGGGAGGCTGGGGCAGGAGGATTTCCAGTTTGAGAAACACAGCCTGTCTCTTAATAAATAAATAAGTAAATCCAACAACAAAAGCAAACTTGATGGGCTGTCACACTGCTTGATTTCCAACCCAAATCCCACATCTGCTACTTCATACCAGTGTCTCTCTGGGCTACTAAAAATAGAAAGTAACAGAGCCACCAGAGGTATCATGAAAGATTAGGCATTTACATCCTTCCTGGGCCCAGGACGGACCTAAGCTGATTACAAGCAGTGTGATCATTCCTACTTGAAGTACACCTGCAGCCTGAGAAGGGTTCATGCCTTTCATGTTTGATTTTGTTTTGTTTTGTTTTTGAGACAATATCTAAGTACTGGCCCAGACTGGCCTCGAACTCAAGATAATCCTTTGCCTCAGCCTCCTTGCTGCTGGGATGACAGGTGTGCGCCACCACACCTGGCCAGTTTTCTCTTTGAGGACTGATGCAGCTGTAGCATCCTTTGTTCAGGGGACTCTCCAGCCTCATTCTCCCCACCGTACCTGATGATTCAAGCCCCTGGCTCACAGCCAGCCCTATCTCTAGAGCCTTGCTGTCCCTCAGAGGTGGACAGGCCTGGCGCGCGGGACCCTGGAGCCACCGGGAAGCGTTGTGGGGCGCGGAGCCCTGGGTGAGTACAGCGCCCCCTAGCGCGGCCCCGGCTGGGAGCAGCCCCGCCCCGCCCCGGGTGCTGACCAACCCCCGTCTCTGCCGCCCAGGTGCGAATCCTTCCTGCGACGTCTGCAGCGCGCCCTCCATCGCCGCTTCCGCCGTCAGCTGCTGGGGCTGCACCAGGCCCCGCCGCTCTGCGTTGAGCTCTGCGAGGCCTGGTACGGTGGCAGCGCGGGCCGGGGGGTTGGAGGGCGCCTGGGGCTCGCTCTGCCTCGCACAGGAAAGTGCCTGGCCTGCCTGAGGCCCCAGAAGGAAGGCCAGTCTAGAAGCAAGGTCCAGCATTCACTTGGAGATGGGCGGGGCAAGGAACGCGCTCTGGCTTTAAAGATAGCCATGGGAGCGTGGCCTCCTGTCCGGGAGGTGTGCGCCTGGATGGTTTTGTTTTGCTTATTGTTTGGAGACAGGGTCTCACTGTGTACTCCAAAATGACCTTGAATTCACTAGACTGGCCTTGAACTCAAGACAACCCTGCCTCAGTTTCCTGAGTGCTGGGATCCCTGGGCTGCACCACCATGCCTGCCTCTTAGCTTTAGTTTTTGTGGCACTGAGGACTGAACCTAGGGCCTTCCCATTGAAGCACATCTCTAGCGCTTTGTACTTTATTTTTTAAGCTTTTGATCCAGAGTCTCTAAGTTATCAACACTGGGCTCGAATTTTCGTTTCTCCTGCCTCAGCCTCCCAGAGTGCAACCATGACAGGACTGGGCCACCATGCCAGGGGTGTATGGAGTTTCTTTAAAGTGCAAAACCTGTAGATTGAAAGAGAAAGTAGGGCTGGAGACTTAGCTCAGTGGTAAGAGCACCTGCCTGGCAAATGCCAGGTCGTGAGTTTGATCCCTGGTACAAAAAGGAAAAGGGAAAGTGATGGGTGTGGCACGTGGGGGGCTGACTGGAACCCAATGTGACACGCCCTGGGTAGGGGTAGGAGCTGAGGTCATCTATGGTCTGGTGCACATCTATGGGGGTACAGCTCAGGGGAAGAACACTTTCTTAGCATGTGTGAGGTCCTCAGCTCAATCACTAGCACCTCAAAAATAAGTAAAAGTTTATTCTATAAAAGAAAGAGGCCACCGGTTCCATGGCACTTGCCTGTCATCCCAGCGCTCAAGGCTGAGGCAGTGCAGGTTTCACAGTGAGTCTAAGGACTGTAAGAATCACACAGGGAGACCCTGTCTTGAAGGACTGGAGTGTGGGCGCTGGAGAGCAGGAATGGGAGCAGACCTCCCCGGAAGCCCTGAACCTGCCCTGTCCACACTGTTGCCAGGCTGACCACCTGCAAGGCTGATGGCGCCTGCAGCCCACCCTGGCTGCCCCCCTCAGAAGACAGGGGCTACATGCCCGACTGCCTCAGCTATGGGCAGGTGAGTGAGGCGGGTCGAGCAGGGAAGACTGACATCCTTCTTGCCTTGGTGTCCCTGGGCCCTGGGGTCTGGTGTGGCCCTGCCAACATCCCCATCTCTATCCATCCCAGGCTCACATTCACACTGGGTCGTGCCTATGGTCCCCTGGGTCCACAGTGCCCTTTCCAGGGCCCATCTCTTCTCTGAAGCGGCCCAGGTCCTTTCTAGGTTGGGGATGGTGGCTGTTATCCAAGCACTCAGGAGGCTGAGGCAGGAGGCTCACCCTGACCTCAAGGCCAGCCTCAGCAGCACATCGAGGCCCTGTCTCACAACAGAAAATAAAAAAATCCTCGAAGCGGCCCTCAAACCAACTCATTCTCCCCAAAACCCCACCCTGCTCCCCACCTCTAGTGAAGGGTGGGGAGCAGCAGCCCCACCACATCTAGACTCTGCCCTGCACAGCGCTAACCCCACCCTCCCTCCCCCAGATCTTCGCCGATGGGGCAGATCTCTGTCGCTGGGCCCTGGGTGACACCCTGCCGGTGGCAGCTCCTGGCTCTCGCCATTGCCTCAACCTCTCCACGCCGGTGTCCCTTCGCTGTGGCTCCAGCCGGCATGCCCGGGAAACTCGGCCTTCTGCCCCGGACACCACAGGAAGTGGCAGCGGCAGTGGCAGTGGCAGCGGCCCCTAGCAGACACCTTGGGAAGTGACCGGAATTGGGGCATGCTCTCTTCTCCCTCTGAATAAAGTCCCAGCCCGAGCCCTGGATGTGGCTGCTCCTTGGGGAAAGAACTGCCAGAAAGTGAGGTCTGCCTTCCCAGCCTTGCAAATCCTAAACTACCAGCCCTTGGAGAGCTGTTTCCCCCTGTAAAGAAGGGGCAGCTGAGGCAGGAGGATGGAGGATACCGTGGGCTACACAGTAAGACCCTGTCTAAAAACCAAAGCCAAAACTGAAAGAAGGGGCAGTGTCCCCTTAGCCCAGATGCCAGAGCAAGGCTAAGGATTTCCCTGCCCTTGGGGAGTGTGGCAGCACAGGAAGCACCCGCCACCCTGGGAGGAGTGCTTGGCTTTATTCAGCTGTGAAACCCACTAGGCACAAACAGGGGAAGCCTTAGCAATGGCTGGACCGGGGATTTATGTGACCTTAGAAATCTGAGGTCAGCAGGGTGTGGCGGCTCACCCCATCATCCCAGCCCTTGGGAGGCTGAGATAGGAGGTTCACACGTTAGAGCCCAGCCTGGCCAAAAGGAGACCCCAGGAAGCTTCGGTTTCCCCTAGGAAACCAGGACACACACTGGGTCTCGAGGTTTGTCTCTGGACAAGGGCGCCTCATGGTAGCAAACACAGGCCAGTGATGCCATGGTCCCAGGGTTGTACCATGGCCTGGTTAGTAGACACGCTGGCCAGTTTCCAGGACTGGCTGTCATCAATCTGGGCTTGTTAGTTCATCACCAGATCAATCATGATGCCCAGGGACACTCTGGCCTGGCTGGTCTGATCCAGGCCATGATGGTACCTAAAGGTTCATGGGGGCCTGAGAGCAGTGGGGGGGCTAAGAGCAGGGGAGGGCTGGCTTCCCCGAAGGACAATCAGGCACTGGAACCCGGAGTGGGAAAGAACACTGGACAGGGAGTCAACACTCACCAACTGCACTGGGTGTGGTGGCACACACCGCATCCCGGCAGCCAAGAGGCTGAGGCAGGAGGATGCTCCTGAGTTCAAGGTCACCCTGAACTACACAGCGACTCCCTGTCTCAAAACCACCCCCCCCCACTCCTAAGAGCAAATGGGCAGTCTCGCAATGCCCGTTCTGTTGAAGTTTGGGCTCCAGAAGGCAACGGTTGCATCCCCCAGCGAACACCCTCCCAAGTTGCTCCTTGCCCAAACACAGCCCTCTACCAGCTTGTCCCCAGACAGCTTTAATCCTAGAGGGAGGCAGGGGCGGGCAGAGGGCCGCTGGCAGCTCCTAGAGGGCAGTGGCTGGCTCCAGGCCCCGCTCCTGGAAGTACCGGTGTGGGTGGCGGGCCTGCGGGCCTTCGCCTTGGAAATAGGACGTGATCTTCCTGGATCCCTCCTGCTCCTCGAGTGCAGAGTCCTCCCTGGGGGAGAGGGTGGCACTGACCACTTCTGGCTGAGGCTCAGCCTCTTCCCTGCCGCCCAGGGCACCCAGGGGACACCCAGGGGACACCCACCAGGTAACGTTTTCCGCCTCGGTCTCCAGAATGGCCTGGGCTGTACGCCAGCTGAACCGCACGAGCTGTGGAAAGCCGAATACAGGCTCCACGTGCCTTCTCAGCCAGGCCTTCGTCTTGGGGTCTGGGGGCAAAGAGATGGTGACAGCTGTGCTCCTCACCGTGCGTGCGGGACCCTCCCAGGTCCCTGAGGCTGCTCTCACTGTTTCTGGCACCCTCCTGCCTCAGCTCTCTGCACAGGCAGGTTAATAAGTCCTGCCCTCCCACTAGGCAGCTGGCCAAGCTGTACTGTGGGAGGCTGAGGCAGGACTGCGAGTCTGAGCCTCGCCTGGGGAGCTGAGCAAGATCCTGCCTTTTTTTTTTTTTTTTTTTTTTTTTTTTTTTTTTTTTTAATATTTTGGTACTGGGGTTTGAACTCAGGACTGCAGCTGCCAGGCAGGTTCTGTTGTGCTGAGCTACATCCCCAGACCCCCAAGATCCTGTCTTGGAACAAATTTTTTAAAAAGATCTGGGGATGGGCTGGAGATTCAGCTCAACAGCATAAGCACCTGCCTTGCAAAGGTCATGAGTCCATCCCTGGTACCGATAAAAAAAAAAAAAAGAAAATCACAACAAAAAGGTCTGGGGATGTTGGTCAGGCCGAAGGGCCTATGTTCCGTCTCCAGTACTGACAAAGGAAAGCACAAGATATAGCCCATGGGGAGATTGCCTTTAGGACACCCCAGGCCCCAAGGACAAGGGTCGGGAAACATTCAATTCGGGGAATTTATCTTTCTTTTGGGTGGGTGGGGGATCTCAGCATAGTGAGAACTGAACCGAAGACCTTCACATTCCGCTGCATTCCCCAGTCCTTTTTATTTTGAGATTGGGTCTTAGAGATTAAATAAGTTGCCCAGGCTGGGCTAGAATTTGAGTCCTCCTGCCTCAGTCTTCCAGATTATCAAGATGAGGTGTGTGCCACCACACCCGATTCCAAAGTAGTTTTAGCTTTCCCTGAGCTCAACCCTACAGGCTCTCTCTGTCACCCCACCCAGCTGCCAGCCTCCCTGAGCCCCAACCCAGAGGACCCCTCTAACCCAGCTGCTGCCTCCTCAAGCTATCTTCTTTGGTGCTGGGGACAAATGCCAGAGTCTCGAGCCCCTGCAAAGCACCTCTCCCTGAGTGGCACCCGCTCCACTGTGCCACCCTCAGGCAGAAGCTGGGCCAGTTCGAGGCCAGCCTGGGCTGCACAGGGAGGCCTCGTCTCAAAGATGAAACAAACTTAAGAAGTGAGGAGAGGAGATGGTAGGAGTCCATGGCAGGGCTGCTGCCCGGGCCAGCTTCACTCGGCACACCCAGGATCTCGGGTGGCAGCTGGGGAGCAGGACACCCTCTGCTCACCATTGGGGTAGCCTGAGCCGTAGTCAGCATCCAGGTCCTGTTCTTTCTCCACAAACTGCCAGCTCTTCACGGCCTGGTCTCGAGCCACCTGTGGGCAGGACAGGGGCTGGGACTCTGCCTCCCGCTCCACAGCCCTGCCTGCCCCATGCCCAGCGGGTGCTGACCTTGGCGCAGATGCTGGCGGCACTGACCACAGGGTAGAGGGCGTCTGCTTTGGCTTTGACAGTCACTGTAACGTCAGGAAAGCGCTGCTGCAGCCGCTCCTGGTATGACGCTGCCAGTCCCACAGTGTCCACGAATACCTGTCATGGTGCCAGAAATGTATTCAGTCCACAAACTGCAGGAGAGCAATGAGACAAAGGACTCAGCCTATCGGCTTTTCATCAACTGTTCCCACTGGCAAAAACACTTTCCCTTCTTTCTTTTTTTGTGGAGCTAAGGATTGAAGCCAGGGCATCACATATGCTAGGCAATTACTGAGCCGCCACTGAGCTATACCCCAATGCCTGATAAAATATACTTTATATTAGAAAAAAAAAGCAGGACTTGATGGTATACACCTGTAATCCCAGCACTGGGGAAGGCTAAGGCAGAAGGATCACCATGAAGTCACAGCCAGTCTGGACTACATAGTGACTTCCAGGCCTGATTGAACTCTATAGCAAGACTTTGTGCAAACAAGCAAGCAAACAAACAAATCCCTAAAAACCAGGACAATAAAGAGCACCGAAGAGCTAAAAAGTGCTATAATATGTTACTGTTTTGATTTTGTGACATAGGTCTTGCTATGTAGTTCAGGCTAGGCTTTAACTCATGGGGATCCTCCTGCCTCAGCTTCCTAAATGCTGGGATTACAAATGTGCCTCACCACACCCAGAGGTTATAATTTTAAGCAGTGAAGAGTAAGGTTCAGAGAAGGTCCAAAGAGCTGACTACTGAATGAAACTTTGACGCAGGGCAGGAAGGCAAGCCTGTGAAGATCTGTGAAAGAATGCTTTAGGAGGTGAAAAGTTAGTGCAAAGGAGGGGCTGGGGATTTAGCTCAGCAGCATAAGCGCCTGCCTTGCAAGCAGGCAGTCGTAAGTTCGATCCCTGGTACCGATAAAAATGAAAAAAAGGACAAAAAAAAAAAAAAAAGTTAGTGCAAAGGCCCTGCACTTAGAGCCAACAGAGAACGCTCAGTAGCAGTGCGCAGGCCCCAGGTCCGAGCACAAAAGTGAGGCCAGAAAGGGTGTGTGGCAGCTCCACAGCCAGGTCAGCTCTCAGGAAACACCGCTCTCTGGGCACAGCTGACCAAAGGGTAGGGCCTTCGTCGTCTGTTTCAATCTAGCATCTCCAGCCCTGCACTGGGCTCCGCCTCCACATGGCCTACACACTCCATTCCCACTGTTCTCTCAAAAACGGCCCACAAAAATGGCCCACAGAAACCCATGCCATGCCAATGGAAGTTTTTTCCTGGTAATTGAATCTCATTCTCCCCTACTTGACGTAATTTCCCAATTTAATTTCCTCTATGATCATAAAATTAAATGTCAAGATTTACATTTCACACAGAGATGCTGGTCTGCTGCGTAGGAAGCAGACTGAAAGGGGAGGGCTGGAGGTGAGGGCCAGGGAGGGAGCTGGGCAGGCTGGGGTGGGGGCCCTGGCCTAGGATAGATGCTGTGGGAAGGTGGAGGGATTGGGATTTGTTCCAGAGCTTTAGGGCCCTTAGCAAAGGAGTATGGAGGAGACAGGTGTGGGGCATACATTAGGGCAGAAATAATGCATTCCTAATGCACCTCATACTAACCTGCCTGCTGCACTGTTTTTCCTTGAAGTAAATTTTATTTTCCTGCCTTTTTTTTTTTTTTTTCCTGGTATCAGGGATCGAACTCACAACCTTGCCAGGCAGGCCTCTGCTGAGCTAAATCCCAGCTCATGTTAAGAATAGGCCCTAAGTCTACAGCCACCACCCTGAACACACCCGATCTTGTCTGATCTTGGAAGCTAAGCAGGGTCGGGCCTGGTTAGTACTTGGATGGGAGACTGCCTGGGAATACCGGGTGCTGTGGGCTTAAAAAAAAAGAATAGGCCCTAAGAGCTACACTCAATTTTTTTACTGGTACTGGGGATCGAACTGACGACCACCTGCTCGAATGGCAGGTGCTTATGCTGCTGAGCTAACTCCCCAGCCCCAAGAGCTACACTCTTAACACCCACTGCACTTTTTTCTCACTCTCCAACTTTATCCACAAGGTAATTGAAACAAACCCCAAAAGGTTGGCTCACCTGGGTGACGTTCACACCCTGGTCCAGTGCGTGCTGGATCAGCCCGGAGGCTGTGTCATGGGAGAGGGAGTTCAGGTTGTATTTGACCCTGCAGCAGAACAGAGCTCAGTGGTCCTCCTCCCAGCCCCAGGACCCAACCAGTCCATGCTGGCGGTCCCACCCGCCACTCCATCAGGGACCCTCACCGCCCAAGCATGCTGGTGGAGATGAGGTTTGGAGATAGCACGTCCAGGGCCCAGCCCACAAAGTCCCTGTCTTCCTGCATTTTCGAAAACAGCCTGTCCCGTTCGTTCTCCGACAGGGTCTTTGAATCTGGGGGTGGGGGGGAGGTTGGACAAAAGAGGGGCAGTCCGTTCTCTCAATTCTCGCCCTCCCATTGCATTTCCCACCTGCTCCCCGAGCCAGCTCAGGAACCTATCCCCAGATGCACACCTCGGACTCACCTGCCACTTTCAAGGCCTCCAGATCTGCCAGGCGGGACTGGGGACAATAACAGATGGCATAGACCATGGGACCTGGGGAGGAGGGCGGTCAGGTTTCTGGGAGCAGGGTACAACGCCCGTCCCATCGCCCCGGCCTTCTCTGGTGTGCGTGGTCTTCCCACGATCACTGCCCTTCCCTAGACTAGATCTGCTCAGCACGCATCCTTGCATCCCACCCCGGTCCCGGGAACCCACCCAGTACGGGGCCCCGGCCGGCTTCATCCACGCCCAGGACACAGGGCTCTTTGCAACACACGGCGGGCACGGGCGAGCTCAGGCGACAGCGCCCGGTATTGTCCTTTTCCAGCTCGCTGAGGTCCATACTGCCGCTCCCTACACCTGCAGTCACGGAGGTTGCAGATTCCGGTTTCTGCGCGCGTTTTCAGATTCTGACCAATTGGCACACAGGACACGCCCTGACGTCCCCTTAGGCCTTTACGCTTGCACCTCAGACACTGTCCCGTAGCCTTCTGGGAATTGTAGTTCACAAGGCTTCCACAGATGGAATGGTTTGCAGTACAGCGTAGGCAGGGTCGCTTCGAAAACTCCGCCCCGGGGCCTTGCAAGCTTCCCCTGGAGAGGCTTGTAAGGAAAGAGAAAATAAAGGAGACTGAGGCACAGCTCAGCGTCCTTTCGAACCCAGAGGAACAACTATCACCACACTCCCAGAAACCCATCTTACACTCACTCAGATCCCAGTACTAATGGCCCTGCCTCCTCAGCAAGGGCGTACACTCCCTACCCGCAGGGGTTCTTTTCTTCCACCGAGTGAGCTCAGGGCAATTATCTTGGGGTTCCAGGACTCTCTCCCTTGGTCTCCACTCAGATCTTCCCTACATTCGGAACTGCTGCTTCCTACTGTCTCTCTCCTTCAACCCCAGCCTCTCACACTGGTAGACGGAGGCTGGAGAATGGCAAGCTCGGGGCTAGCCTGAGCAACTGAGCGAGTCACACAACACATGGTCTCAAAGTAAAATAAAGCAGCGGTGGTAGCCCACGCCTGTAATCCCAGCACTCGGGAGGCTGAGGCAGGAGGATGGCCACAGTTTAAGACCTGCCTGGACTACATAGCAAGACCTTGTCTCAATAAACAAACAAACAAAAGGCCAGGGATGTAGCTCAGTGAGAAGACCTTGGGTTCAATCCCCAATACTGGGGAAAAAAAGAGAGGGCTCTAGCCAAGCCTTTCCTACTGGTAATGGAAATCCCAGATCCCCCAGGTTTCTGTTCAGGGTCTCCATCTACCATGCAGAACCCTTTCTCACCACTCCTTGTTCAGGTCCCCAGTGCCGCCTATGTCCCATCTCAGCTGAGTTCTGGCCCCCAGCTCCTTCTGCCATTCCACTGCCCCCCTCCTTCCCTGGCCGAAAGTGGAGTGCCTGCCCTCTGCCTGGAGTTTCCGGTGCTCACCACCCTCCTTTAGGGGCCTATTTCCTGTCTCTAGCCACCCCTCCCCGCCCCCACCATCTTTCTTGGTTTCTCCCTGGATATCAGGAGGGTTTCTGTGCCCTGACTCTCTGAGCTCCACCACCACCAGGCTCAAGGCCCAGCTCCCCTTCCTTCCAGGCCTGCCCCTGCTAACCAGCCCTTCCTGGCTCCCACCCTCCACGGGGTCTCCAAAGCTAACCGACCCCAACCTCCCCACCTCCTCCTTGTCAGGGTTCACCAGCTCAGGCTCAGAGCCGCCAGCTGCAGTCCATTGGCCGGCAAGACACACAGTCCCTCTGCTGGCAGGGCCTCCTTTGCACCAGGCTCTCTTGGTCCATGAACACCAGGCTCGGTGCCTTGATCAGCACCTCGCGGCTATGCCCCTGCTTGCCTAGGTCACAGAGACCACTACTTTCCCCATGAGCCCAGGATAGAGTCCTCCTCGACTAGAGATGAGAGGGAAGATAAAGACCCAGATGGGGGACCTTACCCCCATTTGCTCCATGCCTGTCATCCCAGCACTCTGGGAGCTTAGAAAAGCAGGTCCCAAAACAGAGCCTAGCCTGGCTAATTTAGCAAGACAAGTCAGGCGTGGTAGCACACTCCTGTAATCCCAGCACTGGGGAGGCTGAGGCAGGAGGATTGTTTCGAGTTCGAGACCAGCCTGGGCTACAAAGTGAGCCCATGGCTAACCTGAACTGCATAGTGAGACCCTGTCTCAAAAAGACAAAAAAAAAATGACAACAATAATAATAATAATACTTTAGCAAGACCCTGTCTCAAAAGAAAGAAAAAAAGGAAGGAAGGAAGAAATAAAGAAGGAAAGAAGAGAGAGAGGGAGGGAGGAGGTAAGGCAGAAAGGGTCTGGATATATAGTTCAGAGCTAAAGCCCTGGGTATCCCAGGGCTCAATCCCCAGTACCAGAAAACAAAAACAAAAACTCTAACATTACAGCTCATATTTGCTAGATTCTGTGACATTTAGTATTCTCATTAGAAGAAGGAAAGAAGGAAAAGAAGGAAAACTGAGACCTTGCCATTCAAAAAGACAACCAAACTGGGCGTGGTGGCACACTCCTATAATTCCAGCATTAGGGAGGCTGAGGCAGGAGGATCCTTGCAAGTTTGAGACCAGCCTGGGCCACAAAGTGAGCCCAAAGCCATCTTGAACTGCATTGTGAGACCCTGTCTCTAAAGACAAAAAAAAGAGACTCAAACGGGGCATGTTGGCATTATTCCAGTGCTCAAGAGGCAGAGGCAGGAGAATAGCAATGAATTAAAGGCCAACCTAGTCTACATAACAAACTCAAGGCTAGCCTGAGCTGAACAGCAAGAACCTGTCTCAAAAAAGAAAAAAATAAAAAATAAAAAAAAGGCTGGGGATTTAGCTCAGCGGCATAAGCACCTGCCTTGCAAGCAGGCGGTCGTGAGTTCGATCCCCGGTACCGATTAAAAAAAAAAAAAAAAAAAGCAGGCATGGTAGCCCAAGCCTGTCATCCCACCACTGAGGGATGACAGACCAAGGCAGGAGAACCGGTTCAACTTTGAGACCAGCCTGGCTAATTTAGCAAGGCACAAAGTGAGCTCAAGGCCAGCCTGAACTGCATAGGGAGACCCTGTCTCAAAAAGAAAAAAAAAAAAGGCAACAAAGATGACAACCATCACTAGGGTATTAATCCAGGTCTTATCCAGCGGGCACTGAGCCACCTGACCAGCAGGGCTGACAGGTGGTAAATTAAATGGCATAATTGACATAATTGACGCCACTTAAAATCCCTGGCGCTGTGCTAACACGTAGAACCAAAGCAATTACTATGATCATGTTGAAAGCAGCTAGAACTGTTTTCATTGTTAGTTTTTTGGTTTTTGCACAGTGCTGGAAATGGAGCCACGCCCCCGGCCACTATTAAGCCGCCTGGAAGGTTTCTTCTCTGTTCCCATGAAACAGGCCTGGTCCTAGGGCCTGCCACCTCCCTTTCCACCTCCTCGGCCTCTGCCACACCTCCTTCCATTCCTGTCTTGGCCTAGGCCCTAGCTGTAGCGTGTCTGGGCTACTCCTGGCATCTGCACCGCGGCCTTTGCTTGTCGCTCTGTCCCTCAGTCCAAACCCCTCTGGCTCCCTGGCTTCCCGCCTCCTCCAGGTGGGACTCGCCCACTAGCCTGTGGCAGCGTCTGCTCCTCGGGCAGTCCGCCTCGCTCCCCGCCGCCGGCCTTTACCCTTCTGATGCTGCAGTCGCAGCAACTCCCAGGGGTCGAGGTCTCCCTGCTGGCCGAAGTAATGGTAGTCGGGGTAGACCTGGGCCCGGGTGTCTGGCACCACGAGCGTGAGAAAGGGGGGCAAGAGTGCCGCTGGGCTCGCGGCCATGCAGGACCCTAGCCGCCCCGGGGCGCCCCCCTGCGCAGGTTCGTGGTCCCGGCCCGACGCGAGTCTCCCCCGCTAGACGCAGTGGACCCGCCCTCCAGGGCCACGCCCACCAGCAGGACCCGCCCCTCGTGGGCAGGGTGCGGGCCGCGCATAAAAGGCTCCGCTGCCCGGGGCGTCCTGGGAGCTGCGACTTTGAGTCCCTGCTTCTGCTCCTTCGCGGCCCCGCTGTCACCCACGCAGGTACAGCTAGGCCGAGCGCACCGGAGTTGGGGATGCCTGCGCCTGCCCCGGGCGGTTCTGGCCTATCTGGACCTCATCCCGGCCTCCTTTGTTCTCTGCATCCGCCATGGTGCCCGCCTTTGTCCTTGCGGGGAAACCGAGGCCAGTCTTGTTTGCAGTCGAGGCGCGATCGCCGAGCCTCGCGCCCTGCTCTTGGGCCTTCGCTGTCTGGTTCGGCTGGGGACCCCAGGCAGGCCTCTGATGGGGTCCCCGCGCCCTGGGTCGGGGGGTAGGTTCCAGCAGGGCCTTGCAGACACAGGCGGGGAAGAGGGGCGGGGTGGGGCTGGGACATGACTGCTCCGCCCCTCGGACTCAGCCCCTGAGGGGGGGGGGCTCCCGCGTGACCTTGGGGAGCTAGGACAAAGGGTCCCCAGGCACTGAGCGCGGGGTCTCTCGGCCTCTAGTCATGGCATCCGGCAGCGCGCACATCGGGAAGCCGGCCCCAGACTTCACGGCCACCGCTGTGGTGGACGGCGCCTTCAAGGAGGTCAAACTGTCGGACTTCAGAGGTGAGGGGACAGCGGAGGGCTGCAAATCGGGACGCTTTGCTGCGGAGGGGCTGGGCTGACACCTATCTTTCCTGCCGTGCTTAGGGAAGTACGTGGTCCTCTTCTTCTACCCCCTGGACTTCACCTTCGTGTGCCCCACAGAGATCATTGCGTTCAGCGAGCATGCTGAGGACTTCCGAAAGCTGGGCTGCGAGGTGTTGGGGGTCTCCGTAGACTCGCAGTTCACCCACCTGGCGTGGTACGGGCGGGGTCACATTGCAGGGCCTAGTTCTGTGGCTTCCTCCCCCTACCTTGAAAGAATGCAAAGAACGACACCACTGACACAACCTTCATTCTTCAGATAGCTGCAGATGCTTTGTCTCCCTTAGTTATGGGAGGTGGTGGAGGCACCTATTTACAAAGGTGGAAACTGCAGGTCAGCAGAGGAAGGGCTGGGCCCAGGCAGGAGGCCAGGGACAGGCTCTGCTGCATGGCACAGGAACAGCCACTTGCCCAGAGGTGGAACCCTAGCCCCTGGTTCGCTTCTGGTGGCCAGGATATGGGATTGGGCCCTGCACAGCCCCCAGGGCGTGGTGGGTGGGGCTCCTGCTTTAACTCCTTTATCTCTTGCCTCCAGCACCCCTACTTCAGCTCTTATCACATCCCTCCTTGCTTGCGACAGGCACCCTGAGGCCCCAACCCTGTCTCTGTTACCCCCAGGATCAACACCCCCCGCAAGGAGGGCGGCTTGGGCCCCCTGAACATCCCCCTGCTTGCTGATGTGACCCGAACCTTGTCTGATAAGTACGGAGTGCTGAAAAGGGATGAGGGCATTGCCTACAGGTATGCTGGGGACCCTGCCCCAGGGTGACAGGACTGGAGTGGAAGCTCCCAGCTCCTCACTTGGAAACCCCCCATCTCCAGGGGCCTCTTCATCATCGATGGCAAGGGAGTCCTGCGCCAGATCACTGTGAATGACCTGCCGGTGGGGCGCTCCGTGGAGGAGGCCCTCCGGCTGGTCCAGGCCTTCCAGTACACAGATGAGCACGGGGAAGGTAAGTAGACTGCACCAGGCAGCATGGAGGTAGGGCCCTGTTCATCTCAGGCCTTAGCTCCAGGCAGTACCTGAATATAAGGCAATTTAGCAAATTACTGAGACTCTTGTCTCAAAAAATAAAGGGCCTTTGGAATATAACCCAATGGGAAGACCTTGGGGTCGATACCTGGTAACTAGGGAGGTGAGGGTTGGGATATATCCCAAGTCATGCTTGAATAGTAGGCGTTGAATCAGACTTTGTTTTCCATTTTTTAAAATTGTGGTGCTGGGGATGAAACCTAGGGCTACCCCCCCCTTCCCCCTCCTCCTTTCCCAATGTAGGAAAGTGCTCAGCACTGAACTACATCCCCAATCTGCTCCCAGTATCTTGTCACTTGACTAAAGGCATTCAACAGTCCATTAGAGCCAGTGCTCTAATGAAGGGAGCAAATGCTAAGTGTGGTGGCAGCTGTCATCCCAGCACTCTGGGAGGCTGAGGCAGGAGGACTGAAACTTGAATGGAGACCTGGGGAATTTAGCTAGTTAATGAGACTTGTCTCAAATTTTAAAAGAGCTCAGTGTGAAGGTTCAATCCCCAATGTGGAAGAGGAATGGCACTAGAGAGCAAAAGAAATTGAAGAATAGACCAAGAAAATGTTGATCAGAAAATGTTGAGGGTTATGGTAGCACAAGCCTATAATCCTGGTACTTGCCTATAATCTTAACACCTGGGAGCCTGAGGCAGGAGGATCACCCCAATTTCCAGGCCAGCCTGGAATACATAATGAGATCCCATCTCAAAACAACCAGAAAAATGGGCTGGGGATTTAGTTCAGTGGTGTAAGTACCTGCCTGGCAAGTAAAAGGTCATAAGTTTAGTTCCTGGTCCAAAAAAAACCCAAAAAACAAAACCATCCAGAAAATGCTGTGGCTGGGCTTGCAGTTTGGGTTTTGGCTGCTGCTTCCAGATTTTGTATGTCTTTTTGAGACAGAGTTTCATTATGCAGTTCAGGCTGGCCTTGAAGTCACTTTGTAGCCCAGGCTGGCCTTGAACTCGAAGCAACTGCTGGGATTACATGGTGCACCACCATGCCCGGCTTTGTTTTGAAAGCAGAGTCTTCCTGGGTGTCCCTGGCTGGCCTTGTACTCAGAGAGATCTTCTGCCTCAGCTTCCTTGAGTGCTGAGATGGCGGGTCACCAGACTCCTGTGTGTGGTACTGTGAATTGAACCCAGGGCCTTTGTAGCACTTTTTAATTTTGAGACAGGGTCTCACTTAGTGGCTGAGCTGTCCAGGTTAGTCTCAAGCCTGTGATCCTCCTACCTGGAGTGATGGGCATGCCCACCATGCCTGCTCCAGCTTTTTTTCCCCTGTAATGCAGTCTCTGGCTTTGCTTGTGTCTGGAGTCTGATTGTGACACGCACACACACACACACAACCCTGTCTTTCCAGTCTGCCCTGCTGGCTGGAAGCCCGGCAGTGATACCATCAAGCCCACTGTGGACGACAGCAAGGAGTACTTCTCCAAACACCACTAGGCTGGTCGGTGGGAAGCTGGGGAATGAGTCTGTGCTCTCGGATCCAGCCTCTGCCTCCACCTGGCCATCTGTGCTGGTACAGAAAGGGTGGCTCTGCTGTCCAAACTCCAAGGCTGTCGAGGCTGGAGGGCTTAGCTGAGGCTTTCTCATCCCTCACTGGGAACTGGCGACAAGCGACCCCTCCATGGAGCGCACTGGTATAGGTCTGTAGGTGACCAATAAAGTATCTGAAACGAGTCCGTCTGTGTGTTGTGTCTGGCGTTCTCCTTGTCCCCCTCTTCCCAGGTCCCCACCCCTTCGCCCAAGACCCAGCTAGGAAACGGATCTCATAATTACCCACTTTTACCACAAGGTGGCAGCCTCACCTCACGCGTTGCCTACTAGGTGCATTTTCTCTTTTCCCCTTGGCTTGAAGGAGGCTTCTAAGAAGGGCAGGGCCCAGTGCCCCACCCCCAGACAAGTACTGTACCGGGCCGTGCCACATCCTGGAAACTGGCCATACAGGTCAGTGCCCTCATCTCTTACCATGAGGCATCTTGCATAAATGCCACTAAGTAGCTGTGATCTTCCCTGGGTGTCCATGCAAATTACAGCATGTGCAGCTGGGGCCCGCGCCGGTGGAGGCACACCTGTAGTTCCAGCATCCTGTGAGGCTGAGGCAGAAGGATCACAATTCAATCCCAGCATGAGCAGTTTAACAAGAACATTTTTCGAAATAATAATTAAAGCTGAGTGTGGTGGTGCATGCCTGTCCACTTAGCACTTGGCAGGCTAAGGCAGGATCACCCTGAGCTCAAGGCCAGCCTAGGCTACAAAGCAGACCCTGTCTCGAAAAAATGAGTAAAAAGGCTGCGAATGTAGCTCGGTGCTAAGTCCATGGGTTCAATCCCCAGTACACAAAAAAGTTCTTAGCATGATCCCCCGGGCTTGAAGGAGCTCAGTTCTGTCCAGGCAGGAGGCTGGGAAAAACCATCTGGAGCCTGAGTCTCATGCTGGGTTCTTAGGAGATGGCCCATCTGCCCAGCATCGGGAGGGGAGGGACGGCCACGAGGCAGGTGACAGGAGCCAGGCTGCGGCCTCAGGGGTGTAGGGTTGGTGTTCAGCAAGTAACTTTCACCCAGCCCTGACTTCTTTCCCCTGAACAGGGCTGCCAGGCTCTGTGGTGATGAATGGACCCCCCAAGGATACCGCTCCCCCGAAAACCCTCCCTACGGGTCAGTCATCTCCGCTGGAATTTGCTGTGCTCTGCGAGCCTGAGCGGCACTCCAGCCGCCGAGGCCTCCCTCGTTCTCATCGCCTGCTGCCAGCACATCCCACTGCAGGCACGACTGTCTCTGGCTGTCTTTTCACAGGCTCACCTGGGCCACAGGACTTTGCTTGTGCGGCTCCCTGGGGAGACACTTCTCCGGACCACAGTTCCAATCTTCGGCCAACCCACTTTCCACACCTTCTGTGGAGCGCTCCCTCCCTGTACGTCGGTCACCTTGGCCTGCTTTTCTTGACCTAGACCTTATCATGAAATGGAAATCACAGTTGCTGACTGTCTGCCACGGTCCAAGTCGTGTCTTGGTTCACTTTGTCTCATTATGCTGTCCAGCATTCGAGTGACCCCCTGACTCACTATTTTGTACCCAAACTGATGTCTACCCCCACCCTTCACGGTGGCTTGGGAGAGCGTCCTTTGCTACGGAGACCTTCAGTTTCCAGGCTGCCCAGGTCAGTCCGAGGCCCCCACCCCATCCCGCGGCCCAGCTGTGAGGGCGGTGGTGAAATCCAGCGGCCCCAGCAGCACCACCCTGGCAGGACCAGACCTGGCAGCCGCCCCGCTCCGGGACTGGCACCGGGACGGGAAGCTGGCAGGCGGCGCCGCCCTTCCTGGCGGGCGGGGGGGGGGCGGCGGCCGAGCGGGGCAGCTGCAACCCCCCCCAGGAGATCAGACGGCGGGGCGTGGGCGCGGCCAGCCCGGGCGCCGGCTTTGCAGGGAGGCTCAGGGGCGGCTCCCGGGACCCAGGAGTGCCCAGCCCGCCCACCGCGGGCGCTCTGGACCTAGGCCTGGGGCTTTCCGGGCCCGGGAAGCCGCCTGCCCGGGAAAATCCCGGCCCCCTTCCCGGCGTCGCCACACTGCCCGGCAGAGCGGGGGGAGGGGATTCCCGGAATCTGCCCCGAGACCGCCGGCGCGTCACTGCGCAGAATCTGACCATATATGGGCTTCGCTTCCGCTGCGTCAGCGGGGAAAGCCCCGGTGCGGGCGGGGAGGGCGTCGCGCCTGCGCACTGGGCGTCTGGCGGGGGCGGCTGACTGCCTCCTCCCTGCAGCCGGCGCTGAGCTGCGGGACTGGGTCCTGTGTTCGACCTTTCTAACTGGTGGATCAACCGATCCCAGGAGCCCCGAGCTGGGATCCACAGAGGCCCTGGCAGAGCTGACGAGGGCCACAGGTCCACAGGCGCAAGACGCAAACAGCGATTTGGCAGGGGCAGCTCGCACTCGCCTCCCTCCACCCGCCCGGCTTGGGAAAAAAAAGAAGACAACAGAATTTAATAAAGAATCAGTTTTTACTTAAATAGATTCAATAAAAACATACGCGCACACACACAAACACATCTTAAAATAAACTCTTTAGATATCAAGTGCGTGTTTCTGCCCACAGTACGGTGCAGAGGAGGGGGGCAGGGGGCGGGGTCCCCTCCCCAGTGTCCCCGCGGGCACGAGTACCGGGCGGCGGGGCCAGCTCCGCCGCGATCGCCCCCTTCTCCCCTTCCTGTTAAATACACAAATATATTATATTCAATATGAATCGAGTCCGTTTCCAAAAGAAAAAAAAAAAAAAAAAAAGCATGGAGGGGATCTGTAAACGTCGAGGTGAGGGCTGGGCGCAGGCCGAGTCCAGTGTGGCTGGCGCCCCCCAACTGGCGGTGCCCCCCGCCTTGCTCACGGAGGGGCGCGTCCAGCAGTCCGGGCCGGGGTCTCCGTAGTAGGCGCTCAGAAGGCATGGCCCTTGACTCCCAAAAGCAGCTGGCAGCCGTTGCTCACGTGGGTCATGACCTTCTGTTTGAGCTGAGCCACTTGCTCCCGGAGCATGCCCGCGGTGGTGGACAGCCCCGCGTTCTCAGCCTTCAGCGTCTTCACCTTGTCCTCCAGGCGCGCGATGCGCTCCAGTTTCCGCTTCCGGCACTTGGTGGCCGCCAGTCGGTTCCGCAGCCGCTTGCGCTCCACTTTAATGCGCTCCTGGTCTTCCATGTTGATGGGGGACACCGGCGGCGTGGCGTCGCGGCTGCGCGCCTCGGGCACGGTCTGGGGTTCTTCTTTGAAGGCCGAGGCGCCCCGACTCAGCCCCAGCTGCGCGGGGTGGCCGCCAGGGAAGGGTGGCGCGTGGGGGAGGTAGCTGATGGTGGCCGTCGGGTATGAGCTCCCGGTCCCGACGGCCGCTCCGGTGCCCCCAGAGGGCGCGGAGGCCGGGGAGTAGCTGCTGAGGTTGGTATAGACCGGAGGCGGCTCGGGGCCGGCGTAGACGCCCCCAGGCCCGGCCGAGGCCCCTCCACCAGGGCCCAGGGACACGTTGGGGGGCGTCACGTGGTTCATCTTGTGCAGATCATCCAGAGCTTTGACGAAGCCGTCGGCGAAGCCCTCCTGCTCCTCGGTGACACCGCCCCCTGCACCCCCTGCACCTCCGCTGCTGCCGCCCCCGCGGGGGTAGAAGTACTGTCCCGGTGGCGTGGGCGTCGTCGTGATCACGCCGTTGCTGTTGGGGACGATCAGGCGCTCCAGCTCAGAGGAAGCAAGCTTCAGAGACGCCCCTGTGTCGGAGCTCTGACTGGAGAAATAGCTGCCGGCCCCACTGCCTTCGGGGCCCGGGCCGCGCGCTCCAGGCGCCTTGAGTCCCCGGTAGGGTTCTGCTAGGTTGAGTGCCAGGCTGGGCTTCAGGAGTTTGTAGTCGTGCAGAGAGAGGCTGCCAGGGGCCCGCCCGTATCCCGTCGTCGCGTAGGAGTCGTCGTGGTAGAAGGGCTGTTCCATTTTAGTGCACATCCGGGCGGCCCAGGCAATCTGGGCAGGGTCCCCGCGGGCCGCCCCGGGCCTCGCCGCACAAGTGGCGCACTGTCCGAGGCGGTGGCCGGAGCAGTCGTGCGATCGCTCGCTCTCAGGGGCTTGTAGCGGCCGGGGCAGCGGTGCGCAAAGCTCAGTCCGGCTTCCGGAGCTCTCTCGCCCTCTGTAGCGCTCTCGTTTGCTCAGTGTCGCTTCCCCCTTGCTCCCCGATCCCCACTGGCTGCGTTGCTAGCCTGGCCGCCCTCAAGGTCCCAGCCGCTCAGCTGAAGCCACGCGCCTTTATACTGCACTAGTCAGCCGCGGAAGTGAGCTCCGATTGGCTGTCCCTGGAGCCGGGCCCCCGCGCCCCCTCCTGAAGCGTGGGGAAGGGGAGGAGGCGGCTCGCGTCACTGTCAGGAAGCGCGTGTCCTTGTAAACAGCGGCCACGGGCTGGGTGGCTCCGCACGGCTGCAGGGGGAGGGACCCTGTTGTGCGGAGGAAGGGGGATGTTGACTGTCAGAGGCACATGGGGGAGGACTATTGGGGAGGGTGCAGTTGGGACGTACATAGAGGCCTAGTGCAAAGCAAGTGGGAGGGGGTCCCGGGTGTACCCGGAAGGTCTCATGGACCGGGGCTGGCTGGAGGAGGTCGGAGGATTGACAATACATTAGGAGACCGGCGGAGGCAGAGCAGGGAGGGTTAAACAGGCTAAATCGGGAAGGGTCAGGAGACAAGACACCAGACCCAGGAGTGAACCAGCGGTCTCAGGCACAGAGGGGTTTGAGGGGCTGGAATTTTCACAGAGGGGAGGAGGGGAGCGATCCAAAGGGTCTGGGGCTGAGCTGCAGCACCCAGTATACAATGAGTCGGGGTTCAGCAGTGCGCGCGAGTTGGTGGGTACCCCCGTACGTAGAAAGGAGAAGGAATGGGGGAAAGCTAGGTATGCAGAGAGTGAGCAGGGGTACCCTGAGTCAGGTAACACACACGGGGCGAAAGATGGGGACTTGTCTAACAGAGGCGCCCATCTGTGAAACCCTAATGCAAAAGAGATAGAAGGGTCTGGGACACTTGGAGCTACACGCGCGGCGACGGGAGGGTACCCAATCAGGACCTGCCAGAGGTGGGGCTTGGGGTCCCTGGCAACAGGTACTGCAGTGTCCATCACGACGGCCATGGCCCCTCGTGTGTGTTCTTTAGGCACCTGTCCTCTCTGTTCCTGATTCCAAATCCCTCCCTTGGCCACCCCGAGACCTAGTCAGCCCCAGGAGTCGGGACCCAGCCGGACAGCCGGGGTGCGGCTGCCCATCCCTATGCCTTCCTTAGAAACGGGCTGGGGAAAGAGCGCCGAGGCAGGAAGTGTGGCAACAGCCCCGGGGGAAAGGAGCCCGCCCTATCTCCGTCACTCGGATCCTATGGGACCGCGCGCCCCGCCCTGAGCCCAGCTGCTCTCCGCATCTGGGAAGAGGAACCCGGGCGTGCGACCCCCGCTGAGGCCTCTGGGCGCAGATGCCGCCCAGCGGCCGACGGCTCAGGTCACCGTTGCTCCCCCGGCCTCGGAATGGTTTTTCCCGCGGCTCTCGCCGGCGCCTGAGAAGGCAAGGCAGCGCGGGAGGTTCCATCGGCCTGCGGGAGGGGGTTGCAGTTGCGGAGCGGAGGCCTGGTAGCCATGGCAACGGTTCGCCGTCCGCGGGCAGGACTAAGGGGCGGAGCGACCCCCGGAGTTTCTCCCCGACACCCATATTAGGGCATAGGAAAGGGTGGGACCTGCACTGTCCCTGGGCCTGAGGCAGAACCTGGAGCCCCGGTTAGCTGCCAGATCCTAGGGCGCGCCTGGGCCCCCGGACGGCTAGTCCCGACCAGCCCCGGCCGCCACCCCCAGAGCCCCCACGGCGGCCCGCCCTGTCCCGCCCTGCCGCTCTGGGGCTGAGTCCTGCCAGGCCCGACCCGGCCCGACCCGGCCCGGCAGGTCCCCGCCTGCCCGCGGGCCTGGGTCGGACTTCGCCCCTGGCCCGACGGGGTGCGGAGGGGGCGGGCTAATGCCCGGAGGCCTCCGCGGCGCCTGGGCGGGCTGGCACCTCTGATGCCCAGCCCTGGGCAGGGTGCCCTTCCCTTCTCTCCACGCCCCTGTAGTCGGGGGTCCACTCCCATTTTAGCCCAGTGTGGCTCCTGCCCCCCAAAAAGCACCCGAAACTTCGAGGCGTGGGGGGGGCAGGCAGAGGTTTAAACAGGGAGGCTTCCAGTTAGACTCGAGGGGACTTCCATGCAGCGAGCTTGCAGCCCCGAGGACAAGAAGCGAGAGGTCCAGGCGCTCCCTGATTTCTCAGTCTCCGGGCCTCCCAACTGGGAGAAGATGTCAAAAGCTCTTTAGGGCAGAGGGAAGCTGAGGGTCAAGGGCTCCCTGGCCCTTCTAAGGCAGCCTCAGGCTTGGCAAGTGTGGAACAGAGAAAACGAAAGAGGCTAAGAGAATCAGCCGTGAGTAGTGGGGGGCAGGGGAAGTCCAGCAGAGCAAGGGGCTTGGAAGGTCCCAGCGACAGCTGGGGGCATCCCAGTCTGCAGGACCCCTGAGGGCCCTTCCTCTGGCCCCTTGCTGGAGTGGCTCCCTTCCCCCCGCCTCAGGCTCAGGG